CCTACAGTGTGTAATTTATTACTTAAGGAAGATACTAAATAATCATGAACATCAATTAGAGCCATTTCAGTTGATACATTTTTCGTAAATCCATATTGGCAAGAATGTAATATTGTATTGTTTAATAAAAATGTATTCAAACGATTATATACAATTCGTTCTAAGATTTTTGAAAAAAAAGTTAAAACTGAGATTGGTCTGTAATTGCCTAAATTATGAACATCATCTTTTTTGTATATTGGGGTGACTCTCGCTATTTTCATATCAGATGGAATAATTCCTGTACTTAAAGACATATTAAAAATATGAATAAGAGGTTCTAAAATATAATCAATAACTTTCTTAATTACACATGGATTAAAATCATCTACTCCACAACTTTGAGTACTTTTTAATGATTGCACAATTGCAGTTATTTCATTTGCATTAACAGGTTTTAGAAATAAAGATGTAGCACATGGTTGAGGCAGAAAATCTCTATAATTTACAATATTATTTACAGGAATAGTATTGCATATATTCAATCCAATATTAATAAAAAAATCATTAAAAGAATTTGCAATATCATGTGGATCATGAATATTTTGTCCATTTACTATAAAATATGAAGGCAAAGTCTTCCTAGATTTACCAAATATTTCATTTATTACAGACCATGTTTGTTTAATATTACCTTTAGTTTTCTTAAATCTATTTGCATAATATGCCTTGCGTGCCATTTTTAATAATTTATTTACCTTGTTGCGAGCTTTATGATACTTAAGTTTATTATTAGAAGAAGAATTCTTACAATATATTCTATACAACTTGTTTTTATTTTTGATTACATTCAATAATTCTTCGCTTAACCAAGGTTTCTTGCACTTATTCTTATTTTTTCTAGTAGAATACGTTAAGTTTTTATCATAATATACCATAAATCTATGTTTAAACCGACCATATGCTACTTCTACATTACTGGGATACATAACCCCATTCCAATCCTCATTATTCAAATCCAACTTTAAACTATTTATAGTACGTTCATTGATTATACGTTTTTTAGGAATATTACACACATAATCTCTATAAATAATTTTCCCTGTTATTTGAAATATTGGAAGATGGTCAGATGCATCATTAAAAAATATTCCCGGGGTTATACATGAAAAAACATTGTTTGTAAATATATTGTCTATAAGAGTTGCACTATTTACAGAAATACGTGTGGGTTTAACAATTAGTGGCAAGAGTGATGAGGAATGTAACATGTCTAAAAAATCAGCACTATATTTATTTGAACATTTTAAAAGATCAATATTAAAATCACCCATAATATAAATTAATTTATTTTCTTTATTAAGTTTTTGTAAACATACATAAACTGCGTTAATAAAGCTTTCTACTCTTGATTGCGGTTTCCTATAAATTATTCCAACAATTATATTTTTTCCAATCTTATTCGTAATCTCAATAAAAAGACATTCATTACCATCGCATTGCAATAAAATATCATTTCTAATTTTAAAATTCAAAGAGTCCAAGACAAGAAAAGCCACTCCTCCTCCTCTACCACTGATACGATCAATATGAATGAATGAATATCCTTCTAAATGAAATAAAATGGGAGTATTACTTTGAATCCATGTCTCCGTGAAACCATAAATAGAAAAAGAGTAACTTAATGAATGAATAAATTCACTTATAGCTAAAAAATTCTTGGATAAACTTCTTGCATTGAAATGTATAATACTAAAATCAGAATCTAATTTTGGTAAAGACATAAATTCATCTTCCAAATAATAATTACTTTCAACAATATCGTCCTGTAAAAAATCATCGTCATCATTGTCACACGCTGGATCACATTCTAAAGAATGTTTAAATGTATTTTTAAATTTATTTATATCAATTTTATGTTCATGCAATGGTGTTGAAAAAATATTCTTAAATTCATCATCGCTCAAATCAGAAAATGGAAACACTGGGTTTAAGCATATGGGATACTGTGCGTCATGTGTATCATCCATGTAAAAGGAGAACATTAAATATGACCATGACAATCCGTCTACATAAAGACAAACAACAAAACATAGGGGTACAATAAATACAGAACATAACAATTAATATACTGTAATAACAAAGTATGTAACAAGTATTTTTGTTAAATGAGGGGAAAAAAAATTAAATGAAAAGTTCACTCACTTAGTTCAGAATGTGCCTACCCTAACCAGACTTTAAAACTTCCGTAGGTCGTCTTTGCACAAGATCAAGTGTTTTTTGTTGTTTTTGTCAGTCATTAGAATACGCCCATCTCGTGTCCATGCTGCTTTTACTTTCTCAGAGGTTCGTACATGTGCAAGCAGGTCTTGATTTGCTTTCGTCAGATCTTCCTGGATGGACTTCCGCTTACCGGCGAGCTTCCGTCGTTTGGAGATTACTTCCTGGCGCTTTCTATATGATGTAAACTTCGCGATGATTGGGCGTGGCAGGTTCTTTTCTTGATGTTTCTGCCTGGAGCCATTTCTATGGGTACGTTCCAGATCATCCTTGGAGAGATTGACCTGGAGAACTTCATTTGCCACTTGAAGAATGATGTCATCGGTATCTTCTTCACTGCGTTCCTCGAAGCCAAAGAACAGGAGACAATTTCGCCTGGAGTATTGTTCCTGTTGGTCGAGCTTGCGTTGTAGTGTTTTAATCTGCTCGTGTTGATTTTCAAGTTGGTTTTGGACGTTTGCGATCTCCTTCGACTTGCTGTCTGTTACGATTTCGAGATCGAAGATCCTTGCCTGTTGAGTGTCGATGGTTTCCCTGATGTCAGCTAGTTGTTTATTAACGCGCTCTTCCACTTACCATTACTTGTAGCAGCTATGTAGAACAATACAAGCATGAGTCCAGAGAAGGACTTACTCCAACTTAGTAAGGACGCCATAATACGTAGATGAACACACTAGTAAACAGATAAAATATGTTTGTCAGTGATTAATCGAGCCCTTTGCTCTATACACCATTCCAAATCCTTAACTCTTTGCCCGCCACGTACACAATCCCCCCTGTGCCACATTGTTTTTAGGGTGCCACCTTAGGAGGGGTTCTGCATGGACTATGCTTATTCAACTCGCAATAACTTTTGATTGGTGTACTGTAATGAAAAACTTTGTGTAGCAATATTGTTTAGAAATTAATACTCTTGCCAATGGTATCATTTTTGTAATGTATATTATCATAAATTTTGAGATTATCAACTATACATTTTGTATCCAAGTTTTCATTTAGAAGGGTATTCTATACCTCTTATATCTAATACTTTGTTATGGAGGTTTATGTCCTGAGTTAGTTCATTGAAAAGATGTATTCATGAGCTTTCACTACATACCAAATTCATGTGTTGAAGGTCACAATAAGCCTGGTAATTTAGGATTGAATAAAGAGTAAGCCGACAATGAACTAAACTCCTATTGAAATTGACCCTGGGTACTTTTGAATAGACTTCCTGTCTCTTGATTGTACTTTGATGACCTTTATTGTGTCTGTAGGTAAGATGGTGTAACATTCTATTATTACTTGCAAGGCTGTGCAAGCTATTAGAATCGAAAGAAATGAATAGAAGAACTTATTGATTTTCTACACTAATAAGGCAAGCCATGAACATAATGTATGCTTGAAACATGTACTAAGTTATGAATTGTAGAAAGCTGATGTATAATAAATAAGAATAAAATATATTCGTCTACATATGTAGTCTCATATTGACATGTTCATTATAACAAGAGGTAGACAGAGAGAGGGAGAGAGAAAGAAAGAGAATAAGAACGAAGAGACAGGCAGATTGGGAAAGAAATAAGAAGAGACAGGGAGAGATAGAGAGAGAGAAAGAAAGAGATATAAGCAGATACAGAAAATGAGAGTGAGAAGATAGAGGGGGAGGGGAAGAAGAAAGAGACAGGCAGATAGGGATATAAATAAGAAGAGACACGGAGAGAGAAAGACAGATAGGCAGACAGAGAAAGACAGAGGCAGGTTGAGATAATGAGAGTGAGAACAAGATAGAGAGAGGCAGAGAGAGGGGAGGAAGAAAGAGACAGGCAGATAGGGAGAGAAATAACAAGAGACAGGGAGAGATAGAGAGAGAGAGAGAGAAAGAAAGAGATAAGCAGATACAGAAAGTGAGAGTGAGAAGATAGAGATAGAGGGGGAGGGGAAGAAGAAAGAGATAGGCAGATAGGGATACAAATAAGAAGAGACACGGAGAGAGAAAGACAGATAGGCAGACAGAGAAAGAAAGACAGAAAGAGAAAGTGAGGATGAGAAGATACAGAGGGGCAGAGAGAAATAAGAAACAAGGAGAGAGAGAGAGAGAGAGAGAGAGAGATAGAGATAGAGGGGGAGGGGAAGAAGAAAGAGATAGGCAGATAGGGATACAAATAAGAAGAGACACGGAGAGAGAAAGACAGATAGGCAGACAGAGAAAGAAAGACAGAAAGAGAAAGTGAGGATGAGAAGATACAGAGGGGCAGAGAGAAATAAGAAACAAGGAGAGAGAGAGAGAGAGAGATAGCGGCAGATAGAGAAAGTGAGAGTGAAAAGAAGATATAGGCAGGGAGAGGGGAAGAAGAAAGAGACAGGTAGATAGGGAGAGAAATGAGAGAGAGAGAGAGAGAGAAAAGAGACAATCAGATTGCGAAAGAGACAGGCAGACAGAGAGGCGGATAGATAGAAAGAGAGAGATAGAAGGAAAAGGGACGGAGACAGAGAAAGTCAGGTATAGAGAAATAGAGACAGGCGAAGAGAGAGAGCTAGATTACTTTATGTTGAATTATTCCCTCAATGCTACAAAACGCTTTCACTCTATTTAATTCTCTATCATCCACACTTTCCTTGTTAGTCACTCAACTTCTCTACATGCATCTCATCTCATCCCACAACTCAACCACACTCTAAAAAGTGTTGAATAAGAACTCCCATAAAAAAAAAACAGTCACTTTTTTTAAACTAATAAACGACACAAGACAATCAAATTTGCAAATCAAATTGTAACTATATTGTTATTCCACACAACCCGAAAATAAGGCATTCATATATTGCATATCAAATTGTAACTATATTGTTATTCCACACAACCCGAAAATAAGGCATTCATCTATTGCAGATCAAATTGTACATTGTTATTCCACACAACCCCAACATTTTGTTCAGCTGTATGCATTGCTTGTCAAAATGTTATCGCAGTATGAAAGTATTACTGCACACGTAAAAAAAAAAAAAAAAAAAGTGAATACAGATTAGAAACATACTACATTTTGCATGACTCAGACTCATTATAAGTATTGCAGTTTCAAAAGCAAATTTGCATATGATGTAAACATATTGTTTCAAACGGTTACTATGACAGCATGCCATATTCAAATAATGGCAAGTGAATATTTCGCACTAGGCAGGCAAGTATCATATTATTTCAATAGAAACATACTACAGTTTGCAGGATTTAAAGTTTCAAAGGCAACGTTGCATATATAAATTATATACAAATGTACGTCTCATATTTAAAAAATGGCAAGTGAACAATAATATTTTGCACTAGGCAACTTACGGGCAGTAGACGGGCAAGTATCATATTATTTACATAACTGTAGAAACATACTACATTGTGTAGGAATCGGAATTAGAGTCAGTAACTATTTAGTTTCAAAGGCAACATTGCATATAAATGTCAAAGAATAACAAAAACTTAACATTTTCACTGTATGCATTGCTTGTCAAAATGAGATCAGAATATGAAAGTATTACTGCATAAATAAATATATATAATTTGCAATCAAAATAATGGCAGGTGAACAAAGAGTAGAAACATACTACATTTTGCATGAATTGTAGTTGTGACAACCTGTCATGTTGTTGTTAGTTTTTATGGTGCTATCATTCAAAATATGAATATTTACGCCAATAAGAAATACTAAATGGTTCTACCTACAGGTACATGAATAGCAATGTTTTGTATCAGATGAATAATCAATTTGATAATGAAATGGGCCATTGAACACATATCGATCATACATCAATACAAAAAAATATTATTCATCGGAACATCTGGAACAAAATATTAAAAATAATTGAGAAAAAATACTGGCAAGGCTGTCGACTGAAGTACTCGTTGACCATATCTGAAATACATGTCTCTGACCATTGTTCAATCCTACCAATACTTCACTTTGGTGTGGTAGTCCTCAAAACAAATCATGAGGCACATCGGTAGCTGGCAAGTCTTACAGAAGTATCGGGTCTGTGACCTCTTCCTCTTGTTTCCTTCTAACTTCTTAGCACAAACAATGCAGTCTGGCTTGTACTTTGGAGAGGGGTTCAGGGCAATGAAGTGTTTACCTTCCAGTCTCACAGCTGTTCTTTCATTCCTATTCACCTCGCGCAATACTCTGGGTCTCCCAGCTTTCACCTTCTGGTAGCCATCAACAAGTCCGCAGATTACTTGCTGCCTGAACCTCCGAACACATTCCTTGGACTGATTTTCTGGAGCGATCCTTGATGCTATATGTCCGTTTACCAATGCCACTTCCATCAGAAAGTGGTATATTACTCGATACCACTTCATGTGGCGATGAGGGTACCGATAATAGGACATCCTCTGATCCAACAGGTCAACGCCGCCCATGTGTTGATTGTACTGCTCCACCACCTTCGGCTTGATTATTGGTCGGCGACCATTCTCAGATCCTCTGTGTCTGATTTCCTTCTGCACTGTTGAGTTGTTGTGTATAGTTGAAAGTACACTAACACGCTTCGTATCATGCCATGATACCCCCAGCAAACGTCCTTTCCTGAAGAAAGCTGGCCGATCTCCCTTTCTCGACTGAACTGAAGCTGCCTTCATTTCATCTGGGATACCTCTGCGGCTCAATCGAACAGTTCCGCATGCACCAAGCTTGTTGTCAGCTAAGAAGTCATAAAGCTCAGGAGAGGAATAGAAATTGTCCATATACACATGACGGCCACTACCGTAGTATGGACGAGTGAGGCCTTTTACGATGGCTGATGTAACGCCCCCTGGAGCTGCTGCCCTGTCTGCGTCTCGTCCAGTGTACACATTACAGTCAAGGCACAATCCAGATTTGGCGTCCGCTAGCACCCAAAACTTCACACCCCACTTTGTTGGCTTGAGTGGCATGTACTGCTTGAATTGAAGTCTGCCCTTGAAGGGAGCGAGGCTCTCATCGATGGACAGGGAGAGTCCTGGCTGAACTGAAGCTTGGTAAGTAGGCTGAACTATATCCATGACAGGCTTGATCTTGTAGAGGATGTGATGACCTTCCTGCCCCCTTGGGATGCGTTCATCGTTGTTTGCAAAATGTAGCATCGAGTTCAGCAACTCAAACCTGCATGAAATGAAAAAGAAGAAAAAAATTTAGCAACAATGCTTACACATAACAGAGAATAAGATGGAGGTATTCAATCTAAACTTATAATGAAAAAAAAGTGCATTATTTTAGAAACAGCACTCTTTTGACATGATAGTTGGAATTTCTAATTATGATTTTGTGATAGGGGGGGGGGGGGGGGGGGGGAAGATAAATGAGCATAAAAGACAGCCCGAAATAAAAATAGATCTTGATCTACTTGAAATAACCACAAATCAAACACATTTGTTTTATACGGATTAGGGGCCTACAAGAACAATGATATGATATTTTGAATTAAAAAAGTAAATTGAAAATTAAATTGGGTTTCATGTAGACCTAGCCTATAGACTAGGCGGAGTGCTAGCCATTTTCTTTGCTGTTACGCTAAACGTAAGTAGTACGTCTGTTTATGGCGAGACTAGCAAACCGTGTGTGCTTCGCACACACCGCCTATACTCACTTATCCTACGCTACTTGTTGTTTTATTATTACGGACGATGAAATCTTTTTTAGATTTCGTACGAAAAACCTGCGTCGCCGTTTCGCGATAATAAGAAAACAACAAGTAGTGTAGGACGAGTAAGTATAGGCGGTATTTGCTTTGCACACACGGTTTGCTAGTCTCGCCATATAACAGACGTGTTGCTTACGTTTAGCGTAACAGCAAAAGAAAATAGCTAGCACTCCACCTAGTTACAGTAGACCCTATTTCACTTTTCATTTATTTTAGAAAATCAAAATATCATATCACTACTCTTGTTCAACGTCTGATTTATACATGTACAAACAATGCGATTGGTATTCATGGTTAGATCTATATTATTTCAACCCATTATTTCATATAGATCCACAACTAGATCTATTTCATTTTTATTTATCACAATGATTATCAATTAATCAATCATTTGATAAATTACTTAGAATAAAAATTATAAAAAATAACCAAAATTACCCATATTGCTGACAGTTGAAGAGATCTAGATCTATTTTTGATAATAGTCATGACTAGTTATTGCAAATATGAATAAAATAAACTGTATAAATTATTCAATGTTCCCACCTGTTGCGACTCATCACTGTTCCAAAACCAGGAGTGGCGAAGATCCAGGTCTCTTCCCAGTACATCGACAGCGCTGGCTTGGTAACTAATCCCATCGCCATCTGTAGTCCAGTGAACGCCTTCATTTCTTCGGCAGTTGTATCGGTCCATTTGTTGAGGCGTGAGTGCTCCTGAAGTACTCCGAGTCTCTGAAGAGTTTGTTTTGCATACCGGTTAGTTTCTCTCGCCATTAGAACAAACAGCTCTTCAGGAAAAAACTGATAGAAATAGTCCAGTGGTTTTGTGTTCTGGTTTACATCAAACAGAAGCTTTGGTCGTCCACCATTTTCACTGAAGTCATCTAGCCAGTCAGCTTGCCATTCATCTCCATCTTCCAGTCTTATCCACTCCTCAGGCTCATCCTCTGCTGAAACCATCGACACATCATCCCTAATTTCCTCTTCAAACTCGCTGTCTGAATCGTGATTGATGTCCACGCCATTATCATGTTCTGTGGGATTACGCAAAAGTGTACGTGTGGGACCAGGCTCATCTTCCTCGTCAGAGTCAGTCTCGCTCTCCTCTGAATCAGAGTCGGCTGTTGGAACAGGGTCCATCACAAGTTCTCGTACCTGATCAGCAGTGAAGAAGTCCCGTCTCCTCCTAATAGGGGCCATCCTAGCTCATCAGAATATTTGCAAAAGCAGTTTCAAAAACTCAATTTTTCTCGGAAAATGTCAATGTAAACAATGTCTGCGAAAGCGGTGCAATGAAGTGTGATGTGTATACAATGCGAAGCACGCGTTACTATTGTGTGTGTGTGCGTACAATAGAATTAAATGCGTTCCGTGTGTATTGTAAATGAAATGTGACTTGAGTCGAAGTTGGCAGCCCGCTGTATGTTCCGCTAGTCGAACGAAGCGGGAAAAGAGTTAAGGAATTCTCTGTAATGAAGTGTGTTCAATACTTCAACCAGGCTCCAAAATGAATCTCTTGATTAATCCAAGCGCAATGTTCTACATGTAGCTCTTCAAATAAGTCTCTTTACAACTGTTTGGTCCGCTAGGGTAAGGTACAAGTTCTGTCGTTATTAATTTTGATTGGCACTTGACGGTGTTTCAGGTGAAGCTTACGGTTCCACGTTTGGCTACTTGGGGATTCCCAAATAGGGACTGTACACACAGAGAAAAGTAGGTGTAAATTGACTCCCTATTTTTTTTCATAAGAAGGTGTAAATACCAAAACGGGAAAATTGAATGATAATTGGCATGGCAAAGCCGATCTGCGCTAACTTTAATGCAAAATAAATGAATTCGAATGACAAACTCACGAATTTCCTATATAAGAGGGTAAACTAGGACAGGTAAAATTTGAAAAGTGAAGGTGGTGCTCCAGTATATTCGCTAGTAGGGTCGTACGGTGTCACAGGCGAGAATCTCTCGGTTGCGTCAGATATCCGGCTGCGCATAGAATTGTACATATTTAGATGTGTGTGTGTGTGTGTGTGCGTGTGTGTTCGTGAGTGTGTGTGTATTGAGTTTTTACAGACGTGTATCAATCAGATATGATTATTTACGTCTATGGACCGACCTTTAACCGTCACCATCCGAAAGACGTGACTCAGTTTTGAACATGCGTCCTAGGCTGAATCAGTTTGTAACTTCCACTGTTTGTTGGATTACAGGCGCACGCCAACACGCCTAGTTTAATTTGAATGAGCGTCATTTCCCAGACTCATTTCAGACTTTCTTTTTTATCATTACTTTTGTTTTATTTCTTATAATTTTTGCTGTATTATACAAATATTATTAAATGAGATCTATCATACTTTTATCATTGGATCACATAATGTCTTGCGTATCCGGACACCTACCCCCTGGGCAACAACCCCCGGATATCAACTCCGAGTCAACTACCCCCGGGACAACTACCCCGGACAACTACCCCGGACAACTACCCCCAGACAACTGCCCCCTATGGCTACTACCCCCTAGGATAGTTGTATGGGGGGTAGTTGTCCTAGAGAATGGTTGTCATAGGGGGAATTGTCTGGGGGTAGTTGTCCTGGAGTAGTTATCCTAGGGGTAGTTGTCCGGGGTAGTTGTCAGGGGGTAGTTGTCCCAGGGGGTAGTCGTCGTAGAGGATGGTTGTCCTAGGGGGTAGTTGTCCAAGTGGGTAGTTGTCCTAGGGGGTAGTTGACTGGGGTGGTTATCCAGGGGTGATGTCCAGGGGGGTAGTGGTCCTAGAACCCTTTACTTGTTATTAGTATATGTGTATAGGCACGTTCCTGTTATTGCATTTTCTTTTTGGGGTGCCTTTGCTTCAGATTCTGTGGCCATTGATGTTGGTTTCCATAAAATTAAACCGGGACCAACTGCAGTCCAGCTATCCGAAAATGATTGTTTGTTTAAACGATTATATACCATGTTACGAGTTGACGTTTCTGTTGTTGCAAAAAGTTGGGTTCTAGGCACCACCCCTTGGACACGCAAGTCCGGTATAAATATTTTGTACTGTTTAATGAGAAGGTTGAGTTCTGGGGAGAGGTGAAAAAAATGTTTTAGCGCTTTCATTGTTACTTCGTAGTAGGTCCATGGACGCACACTCTTTTTCTTTATGTTTGATCGGCTTCGATTCCCTCCCCCCCCCCCCCCCTCTCTCTCTCTCTCTGCACCACAGTTCTCTATTCCATACTCTCTTCCTCTTTTTTCTCTATCTCTCTTTCTTTTCCTTTAACCCCTCCCTTCTCTCTCTTTCTCTCTCTCTCTCTCCCCCTCTCTCTCTCTCTCTCTCTCTTTCTCCCTCGCTCTATACCACCGTTCTCCCTCTTACTAGGGTGATCACACTGCATGTGCACACAGTCTGCCCAATGCACATACACACACACACAACAGCAGTCAGTTGGTGGAAATAGCAATTTTCGTAAATTTATTTCAAAAAAGCAATATTTTCCCATTTTTATTTCACATATCTTTCAAGCATACCTTTAACTACAATTCTGTGTAGTTTCATTGTTATAGGCATGTGGAAAATATGTTAAATTATTAATTAGAATATTGTCTTTTCAGCCATGTGTGACATGGCCCGCTGATCGCCCATTGTCTGTTATTCTGCGTGGTGAAAATGCACTTCAATGTATAAAACTCCCCTACAAAAATGCAATATCCTCATGTGTGTCACTCATTAAATCAATTTGTTATTTACACTCAAGGTAGCCACAACTGTATTAGGGTCACCAAACTTTGTTTTTCTCTGATATTCAGTCCTTGTAGAATGTTATGGCATGTTGAATTGAATGGTTTCTCGGAAAGGCGTCATAAATCCTCAATTAAAAAACAAAACTATACTGTGATATAGCTGAAAGTCTGCAAATTCGTATTATTTGTTCGGTTTTTCTGAATAATTTGTGAAACATATGAGGAAATAGCTGTAACGGTGATCCAAGTAATTTCCATCGCCATATTTTATTGGCATTGCAAAAATATTTGTAATGTAATGTTAATATTTGGTGTAAATATGATCTATAAATATATGATTTAAAAAAATGCCAACAAAATGAACAGTTTAACTTTCATATATATATATATATATATATAAAATTAGCTGAAATTACCTAATTTGCATATTTGATGAATATTCATGAAAAAAAATTCTTCAAAAAAAATATATTTCCATACCTGTCTGATATACAAAGGTTTCATTGATGTATCATGTTCGGTTTTGATTTGATTACATATGCGCATATTAATTAGACGGACTTAGTTATTTTCACAACTTTTTCATATCTGCTGAATCGCAAAAATGGCAAAAATTACTTATTTTGTTTGCTTCTTTTTTCAAAACGATTATAGATATATGAATTTTCTTTTTTGCATTTTTTTACCACAAAGATGATATTTTAGTGTCAGATAATTTAAATTAGTATTTGTGTCCAAGAAAGTGATGAATTAAGTTGTCAACTTTGTCGAATTTTGCCATTTTTGCCAATTTGACCATTTCTGGCAGGTTTGTCGGTAATTTTGCGATATCAAAAAAATGGTATAAAATCACAACGCATTGACCGATTTCAATTCTGTTTTTTGTTTTTTTAAGCTTTCATAAAGCTGGATCCTTTGCAATCATGAAATAACATGCGTTTGTTGTACTTATTTTGGTGAACTGTACCTACTCTTACAAAAACTGTGCTATACTTTCTTCGTCTCTGTATGTTTCTCTTCCTCTCACTCTCTCTCCCTCAGTACCACAATTCTCTCTCTTTCTCCCCCTCTCTCTCTCTTCCCCCCCCCCCCTCTCTCTCTTTCTCTGTAGTAGTCTGTTCCACGGTTCTCTCTTTCTTTAATTTTAACTGTGCCCCTCAAAGCAGTCATTTTTTCCTTATAATAGTATCACTTGCAGGTGTAAAAGTGCCGAGGAGGCATTGTCCGCAACACTGCATGTAATAGGCATGATACTTCCCTCTCTCAGTTTCAGTCACTCCATTCTGTTTTTAAACATGTAAATTGAGGGCGACATACACTTCAAGCTGTAAGCTTTAGGACGTCCTTTTCAGTACTCACTTCTGGGCATGTTTATAAATGTTTCATTTTATATCTCTGTTGATTCCATGATATCATATTGAAGGTGGAGATTATTTCCATTCAGAATGAGAAAGTCTAAAGGTAAATAAAAAAAATTACAAATCTAATACAAACATCACATTTCTGTCTGTTTTTTTTATACAGCATCAATGCCCTTCTGGATCCAAACAACTCTAAATGTAACACTGTCAGTTCATTGTAAACTCAGGCCATTAAAGCTTTTAACAAATTACAAAACAATACCAACACAGTTAAGGGACTGGCAAGGCAAAATTTAAATATTATCATAAAGGTTTTTGTTTAAACTTTCTCTTTATAAAAAGGTTAAATTGTATTATTTAAAAAACGTGAAACACACTGAAAGACGTTATAAACTATACACAGCATCTGTCTACAGAGAATGAGAAAACAAATCTATTGAGAAGGTTAAGATAAATACTACTAGATAACTAATTGAAGTTAGGTTGTCACAGTGATGCATATAGAGTACTTCATAGAATTAAGTATTGGTTTGAATGATGGTTTATTTTACCTGATATCTAAGACGCCATGTGCATACTTGTAATTAAAGCTACCAGAATATCAACATCTTCAAGTGCTCTTTGGAGTAATGATATGTAATGCCTTACTCATGCGCGGATCCACGTGGCGATTTCTCCGGCCCGGCCCCCCCCCCCCCCAAGCCCCCCAAAACGGTTAAAAAAAATAGGATGATAACGTAAATTTAACCTTTTTTAAAACAAAAAACAAAAGCGGACCCCCTGACCCCTCCTCCTCTCCCCCCCTCTCTCTCTCTCTCTCTCTCTGCACCACAGTTCTCTATTCCATACTCTCTTCCTCTTTTTTCTCTATCTCTCTTTCTTTTCCTTTAACCCCTTCTCTCTCTCTCTCCGTCTCTCTATCTCTCTCTCTCTCTCTCTCTCCCGCTCTATACCACCGTTCTCCCTCTTACAAAAATGTTCTATACTTTCTTCGTCTCTGTATATTTCTCTTCCTCTCACTCTCTCTCCCTCAGTACCACAATTCTCTCTCTTTCTTCCCCTCTCTCTCTCTCTCTTCCCCCCTCTCTCTCTCTCCCCCACTCTCTCTCACTCTCTCTCTTTCTCTGTAGTAGTCTGTTCCACAGTTCTCTCTTTCATTAATTTTAACTGTGCCCCTCAAAACAGTCATTTTTTCCTTATAATAGTATCACTGCAGGTGTACAAGTGCCGAGGAGGCATTGTCCGCAACACTGCATGTAATAGGCATGTTACTTCCCTCTCTCACTCTCATCAGTCACTCCACTCTGTTTTTAAACATGTACATTGAGGGCGACATACACTTCAAATCTGTAAGCTTTACGACGTCCTTTTCAGTAC